TGCTACAACAGACGACCTCCATTTTTCTTCCCACTGTGTTACTTCGACAAAATCATTTGTAAAATTCGGACTTGTTTTGGTGATATTTTTTTCTTACGTTTTTACACCAAAAGCCAGCAGATGACTGGGCTTAACACTGATGCACCTGTCACAGCATATCAAAACCCAAATTGTAGCTGACAATCATTAATGTTAATTCGCTACAGAAATAAGGTTGAGTATATTGGTTCAGTTCTTTGCTTTCTGTCAATCATATAATTTGTAAGAAGCAACTACTTATCTTACGCGGCACTTATATTCACAAGCTGCAATATCCAGAGCTTTCGACCATTTTTTCACCTTTATACAGCCAGGACAATTTGATTCAGAAGTCTGGAATCCATTGGCAGTCTGTCGCTTTTCGTTCGCCGATCATCACTAAATTAATATGACGAGAGTTTAGAAATGGTTTCTAGTTCGAAGGTTAAATCTAGAGATTAGATACGATAACAAATGGAGAAAAAAAAAATGACTCATTCTTAGTAAAGGTAATACAAGGCAATAGGATAGCCTGCAGAACAGGCGGATTAACGGGGCAGAGCGAAGTGCGATACACGAGCGCGGAGCGCGACCACTTGCGCGAGGCGCTCGTTTATCACGCTTGGCGGTCTGCTCGGCTAATCCCCCTGTTCAGCAGGCTAGTGGAAGGACAGTTATTGTTGTTGTTGTTGTTGTTTTCGGCATAACGTCTCCTGGGAGATCCTGGTTGAACGAATGCGCTTACTTGTAGGCCATTTCCGAATTACCATGTGCCTCTGTTTCAAAATGAGTCCTCGTGCAAAACCTTTCTTTGGATATGAAGATGAGTTTGATTTGCATGAAAATGAACCTTTGGGGGACACATTTTCATATAAATGCTTTCGCACGAAGACTCGAATTGACACATTATGGTCAATGACAATAGGATAGGCAGCAAGAGTTAAAAAGTGGCTGAAATGAATTTTTCCTCCTCTTGTTTGACATGCACAGCAAAAATGAAAGATATTTAGGGCTCTTTGTAAGAATTTCATTTGTTTCGCTAGAAGTATAATTTTTATCCTTGCAAGTAAAATTGCTTTCGGTTGTTATGTTTCTGTTCATTCTCATCACATCCGGTCCAGGATGCTCATGAAAATTCATCACCACATCATTTAAAATTCTGTCCATTTTCTTCCAAATTATCCCCAACCAAATGTGTATACTTAAAATGAATTTTAAGGCGAGACTGCCCAACTCGATAAAATATTCTGCTCTGAAAACAGATAGCTTCGCCCGCGTTTCATTGATATTCATGACGTTTGTCAAGGTGTTAAGAGTCTGAAGCCAAGATTAGATGATCGAGAATATTACGAACCTAATCAGAG